AGGGGACTTTGTCTCCCTTAAATCAAACAAGAGGTAAATGCATGGATGATTCTCTTATGTTAAAATTCCTTGGATTGCTTTGTTTTTATTCCTTATTTGGGAAATTTAATAACAAGAAAATCACAAGTTTTATAAGACTTCTTATTTTAAGATTCTAAGTGACTTTCTATTATTATTTATAAAACTATTAAATTTTAGTCAATTTTTATTATTCAATTTGATTTATCTAATAAGTATCTTAATATATTTTACAGCTATAAATTTCCTCTATATTTTATTGAACAGTAATACTGGGGGGCTACCTTTCTCAAACCTATTGGTAGAGGAGGGATCTTTAAAGATCATAATGACAATTAGATTATGGAGTTTGTCAAGAATATAAGCATTACTAATGAGATAAGTGTTAAACTTTAAAACATAGAGAATAACCTCCAAGTTTATTGTTATTAAGGGATTTTCTAAAATTAGCATTAGGTCTGGCTCCACTTATATCATTCAATTATTGTTTGCCAATATCTCTAACATTTTGAATTGTAGAGAACCCACAATGAATTTTGTTCTAACTTAATATTGCAACATGTCAATAGTGATAGCCATATGTTTAGTAACTAATTTTTCAAGATGGGAATATCACCTTTTTTAACTTTTGTTATTTTTAATAAATATTCATTTCTTGTGGTTGCATTTTATCTTATGTACTAGAAGTTCACTTTCTAAAACAACCCTAATAAACTCTCTTTTTTTTTGTACTAATATAATTTAATTATTTTTTCTCAAAAAGAAGAAGAAGAAAAAGTAATAACTTTTTTTTTTTTAAAGATATTAGTATTTTTCATTTCCATTACAAAAGTTTAATTAATAATATGTTTGGGTTGAAGGGAAGGGAAAAGTTCTTGACTAATCAAATTGCAATATTTAAAAAACATTACAATTTGATTGATAAAAAATCTTCCTTCCCTTGCTAAAACGACCAAGTCAAAATCTATCACTGATCTAACAACTCTTTGAAACAAAGTTCATGAGACCTTAAAAATTCAAATTTAAATTATTAATAGTGGTTAATTTTCATAATTATATACCAAGTTTATTTACAAGTCTCCACCGATATCGGATTCAAGGTGTTACATCTACATTTCCCTTCACCCAAACATATTATAAATTTTTTTCTTTATTTTTGATATTGTAGAAATTCTTTTATTCGTATAAAAGGAAAGTAGTATTCTAAATTAATGTGTGAAAATAGGTATAAGTATAAATGAAAATTTTTTATAATTTTTTATTAAAAAACATTAATATATATTCAAAAATTACCCAAATATATTTTACATTAGCTTTTAATTTATATTTAATTTTTAAAACTGAACAATATCTTATATTAAAAATAAAATTTATAAAAATTAAAAATATAAATTAATTTTATTGTAGGTCCTTGTACGACGGCATGGGTACTGTCTAGTTAAAACCACATGTGGTTCGTTCATGGAATTATATATTATATTTTTTAATGATGGGGTTTTTGTCTTTTTGACCTAACAGTAGTCAAGAAAACTAAAAAGAAAAGAAGAAAAAAAAAAGTATAAGCTGGACACAAATTTGACAACGATCTAGAGGGGCTCGCGACAAGTCACTAATTCCTGTTTTCCTTGTAGTGACGATTGCCTCACATGGATACAATATAAGTTAAAATATCAATTTAGTCCCTCAACTTTCAGACTTATACGAAATCTGTCTTTGAACTTTTAAAAGTACCAAAAATGTCTTTAAATTTCAATTTTCGATACCAATTTTGTCTTTTTGTTGATGGAAGTGATAGGTGGCACATTTAAGTACCAAAAAATACAATTTTTTTTTTTAAAATAATGATGTGAAAAAGAAAACACATATAAGCTGATGATGTAGCATTTTTTTTTATTCACTTGGCATTTTTAGTCTTATATGGATAAATAAGGGACCTACATATTTTATAAATTGTATACTTCTCATCCCTCTGCCTCTGCCTCTACAACAACTTTTTAGCTCCTTAATCAAAGCCAATCTTGAAGAATTTCAAAGGTAAGAGGGGAGAGAAGAGTGAGTAAGGAGGAAGCCATTAAAAAAAAATGCAATGGGAGAAGGGAGAAAAAAAGGTACGATTTTAAAAAATACATATAATATTTTTTTTAAAAAAAGGTACAATTTTTAAAAAAAGGTACAATTTTTTGACAATTTAACGTGCCACTTGTCACTTTTATCAAGGCAAGAACAAAATTTGTATAGAAAATTGAAGTTCAAGGACATATTTGGTACTTTTTAAAGTTTAGGAACAAATTCAGTACAAATCCAAAAGTTGAGTGATTAAATTGGCATTTTAGCCTACAATAAACACACTACATATAACAATTAAGGGAGTATTAATTTTCTTGCATGTAATAAAAGGGTAACGTGGAATAAACTTTTATCATGTGTTTGGATTTGGCAGTTGAAAATTGAAATGTGGGAAAAGGAAAGGAAAAATTAAGAGATTAAATTTTTAAAGAGATATTGTAGAACATGTTAGAATCCAAATTACTTTGGAGATTCAATCCAAAATTGTTACTTTCTATTAATATGTTGAAAATAAGTAAATTTTCTTTTCATCCCAAACATTTTTGACATGAGATAACTTTATCCCTAATCTTCATTTAATGTTAGTAACCATCATCAATCTTTCTAAAAGTCTTTGTCAAGTGAGAAAATCACATATAAAAAATATAATATAAAAGCATGCGGGTTAAATATGAGGAGGGTTACTCTATTTATTGCCAATTGATTTTAAGTTAAATACAAGTTTTATGTTGAAACTACACACACAATTTTCACATACAATTTTCACATGGCATCATTAGAGCTCAAGTTTTATTCTTTTGGGAGGCTCATTGTTAGTTGATCTAATAGGAACAGAAGTTTGTATTGTGCTTGTGTGTAGGAGAGCATATTAAGTCACGTGATAATACCTCACATTTAGAGTGGGTCAACATATGAGTGAGCAGATTAAGTGAGAAAATTCTATATTGAGAATATAATAAAAAAACATGTGAGTTAAATATAAGAGTTACTCAATCATTTGTTAATTAATTTTAAGTTGGATGCAAATTTTTTATTAAAATTCACATACACAATTTTTGCAATCTACTTAGATAGTCTCTTTTTATCAAATTAAGACATTAAGTCTTATGAATATAGCAAATATTGGGTCCCAAATGGATCCTTCAGCAAAAACCCATCATTTCTTCTCCACTGACAGAAGTATTTGGAGCAAAAATAGGTTCAAACTCGACCTGGTGCATTTTAGCAAATATAGTGTTATGGCAGCTCAATTTGATGCAATAAATAAGTCTTGAGATGCCACATAGTTGATCCACAATGTTGATTTGTCATGACAGTGGCTCGAAGAGGGTACAATTATTATCAATACAACGGGAAATAGCAAGAAAATTGTAACACAAGGCAAGCTTTTGGCTACATACAATGGGCAGAGGGGCTACCCAAGGGCTTAAGAGTTTACTGGCAGTGGGGAAACGCTGCCAAAGGAAGATCAATGGTGTCAATTGTACAAAATTTGAAAAGTTTGCATGATTTGCCCAAAACAAGATCCAAAATGTTAAAAAAAAAAAAATGAAAAAAATTCAATAATAATGAAATGAAGATGCGTTGAGCAAATATTGAGGTCGAGTATTTTCCATTTCAACATTCTGTGAGAGTTAATGATTTAACGTCTCAACTTGATAGAAGGACTATTTAAAGATATTTGGAAAGGTTGACAATGGTTACTAGCACGAAATGAACTTTAGGGATGAAGTTGTTCGATATTACAAAAGTTTGGAATGAAAAAGGGAATTTACCTTTCAAAAATTTAATTGTTGATTTAAGGAAAATAATTGAAAAACAACATTTTTATATAACATTATACGTTATTTAATAATTGGTTTTTTTTTTAACTTTATTATAACTTATGATATTATATATATCCATTAATTTAATGACATATAAAAATTATATGAAAAAATTGTATAAAAAGATTGTTTACATATCATTATCTTTGGATTAAATATTTTATTTATATGGATAATACATATTAATTTTGAAATTGAAATAAACATTTATAATATTTATCAAAGAAACCATATTTTAAGGAAAATGATTGGTATTCATTCAATTTGACACATTTTTTGACATTAATGCAATTTAATTATAAAAATATAATATAAATACAATTAATTTAGTCGATTTCTATATTTTATGTATATAGTTGTATCTTTAAATTTATCTGTCTTTAATTTCGTATTAAAAAATAAGAATTTTTAAATTAATATATTATACAGTATATTAAATTAGAGTATATACTAATTAATATTTTATTTTTAAATATATATTTAACGATATTAAATTTTATATAATTAATGAACTGATTAGGTATGTCCACGGCAGAGCTTCACTGGGTCAAGGGGCCCATGGTCCCTTCTAAGATCTTGGAAAAATATTAATATATTTAATATATTTTTTATTTTTGGTATTTTTCATATTTATTTTATTGTCAAAAAACAGTTATATTTTTATATTACTAGAATTTACTTGTATTTAGATCATAAGTTAGTATTTGAAAGTGATATAATTGAGAAATTTTGAATATTTTGAGTTTTTGAATAATGATTTATGGAGTAGATTTTTTATTTCTTTTTATGCAGATAAATTGCTTGATGCATTTTCTCTACTACACTTACGAGTGTTGAATTAGTTTGATCTCCTTCATTTTTGGTTAATTTTATCTTCGGTTGATCTAAACTTTTACGAACTCATATTTATCATCTTTAAGTTTTTTTTATTTAATAATTAAGGTATTTTTGTATCGGTTTGTTTGCACATACCTTGAAACTAATCTTTTTGTGATTCAATAAAAAATAATTATATAGTTTATATTATAGAATATACTTTAAAATGTAATTCAGAATCAAATTTAAAAATAAAAGTAAGGTTAAAAAGCAAAAAAAAAAAAATGTTTATCTTGAAATTAAAATAAAATTTGTGACAAACTTTTAACAAAAAGAAAAAATTTTGATGTCCTAGAGACTCCATCTAAAAATTTTCCTCAAGTTTCCTCTCTAGATATATTGTCACGCCCTAAAACCCAATTTCGAGACGCGACAGACGCCGTGCAGTCGTGAGACGGGTCTCACAAATGCACAAGGCTCGGAACTTATCACACCACAATCTGATACCATCAAAATCTGAAGATCAAATTATAAAATTCTCTCTAATATCATAAAATCTCCAAATACAAGATCATGATTCATATCTAACATTTATATCCAATTACAATATGGCTAGCCTTCTAACTCGTCACTTCCCGTGGTTTCCCGTCCTCGGTTTCACTTCCTGAAATGGTGGACAAGGAAAAACTATGAGATAAACTCAGTAAGTAAATATGGAGTGCCCCTTATTTAAACTTA